TTTTACTAAAAATGAGGTGTTTAATACACTTTTTTAAAATAATATGGTTCCAATCCAAAGCAGTTCGGTCCCATGTGGTGTTGACTACAAATGAGGGATTTGTTTTACTGAATTTGAATAAATGAATTTTATCAAACAATGTCTTCTTGTGTTAATATACCGTTTATTTTAAAATAAAATTACAGGGATGACAACAGTGCAAGTGATTAGCCATATTAAAGATAACAAAGGTGAATGGACATGCAAAGTTAGAGTTCTTGAGAAGCGGAACATTAGAGACTCGAGGTCCAGTCCAAATAAGTATAGACCTTATGTATTGCAAGATCATGAAGTGTTTTATATCATAAATGAACTAAACATAGAATATTACAAAACCAGGCTTTTGATTATGTTAATTTGATGTATTTATTTTAAAATAATAGGGCACGAAGGTTCTCACTATGGTGAATAGCGAAGACATTGATCTAGTTAATCGAGTATTGGATATCCATAAAATATATAAAATAACAAATGCTGCTATGATGCCGACTAAATGCAATGTCCCATCACCATCTCCCCACTATAAATACATCTGGATGATTAGTAGACAGACATATATTGACCCAGTTCTAGATTTTGAACAGATTAATATACCAGATGAGGTAAAAGAGATGCTGACACCATTTAATGAGTTTTACGGCATTAGTGCAAGTAAAACCCCCATAAGTAAGTCATTTAATTTCTCTTTTCTTATATAGATATTCAGTTTACTACCACTTTGCATCAGATATGTACTTTTGTATACAAATTTCATGACCGTTGTCATAGAAAAATACCGAGAGAGTACATCTCAGTTGGATTCACAGGAAAAAATAGCACATGATTTCACCATTTTTAATGAGGAGTAAGTATTCCGCATGAAAAAATATTTAAAGATACACAGAAATAACATTTTGAATGATTGCTTGAATAGAATGAAGCTTATGCTGCTTACACTGTGGGAAGAGTTTGCAACGAACCAAGGGAAGGAAATCACGTCCCTCTTAGAAACTAGGCATTTCCAAATAATTATTGTAAAAAGGGTTAATTGTACTGCCTTTAATGGTAATATATTATTTAGCAAAGTTTATATACATAGAAAAAGAATTATTGAATTAACCGACAATAAGTTGATGTGGATTTCTAACAGGTGTTTCTCTGTATTCTCGATTTCATTCAATGTTTGAGGTGGACCCTGCTCATACAACATTTGAATCCCTTAAGAAATGGTATGAACATACTCTTATGTTAAGAATAAATAGTAGAAATCACATCCATTTGAATGTAATACTTATAATAACACTTTAATAGGCGAGATGACAGCATAGACCTTTTCAAGAGGTTCATTGGCCTGAAGGCATATAAAGATGCTCTAAATGCACTGCCCAAAGTTAGAACTTTCTGAGGTTTGCCAAGTGAATACCCAGGTATGCACCATGGTTGAGCATCGAATGACTGAAATTAGATATGTATTATATTTTCTCGTGTGGATTAAGTTTTAAATTTCACACTCCAAATTTAGGGCAAAGGAGTTTGGGTTACAGTACATATGAGAATTCTCGATGATGAACCAAATTCCTACATTCGCTATGACTATTGTAATAAAAAAGTTTGTGGACCACGTGGTGAGAAGAAGTGAGAATTCTCGATGATGAAAAGTTTGATGCTTAAAGAGAAAGGAGTATGATCACATGAGGCATTAAATGGTTATGGACACCATGGTTGGTCTAAACATAATATGTGCTAGAAGAAAGCTAAGATGTAAACAGTATTTGATAATAAATAATAATAACAATAACAACAACAAAAACAATAACCTCTTTAAGAATATCAACAGTTATTTTGGAGTTAAGAGTTAGCATTGTTTTGATTTAATTTGTCCAAACATTATTGCGGCCATAGTTCGAGTGATGAACTAGGTTTTGCTTTACTTATGTATATACTCTGAGCACACGTACAAGGTATATATTACAGAGCGAGAGGGATCCAAATAAAAAAAGTCAAATTGAATTCCGAATATGAAGGTCATGAACAGGTATTTCAACAGTCACTTAACATGTTCTCTCATGACATTAAAAAACTCTGGTAGTTTCTCTTATTATAATCTTTTCATGAACACTCAATAATGTTGTGTGTTTCTGATAATACAATTATACACTTATTCCAAATGTTCGAAGCTGTACAACAGGTCCTTGGCATCCCGTTTGGATCGTACTTTGAGGTGCGTGCTATGCTTGTTTTTAATCTCAATTTGTGTATTTGCTTAAATTTACATATTCTTTTGAGTTATTGTGGTTTACTAGCATCTAACTTTCATGGTTGTGCTTTGCAAAATGAAAATTCTCAAAATCTAGACAACAAGATTTTACAATTCAATATGAAATACATTTGGCCAGAGTCTTTTCCATAGTTGATTCATGAACACATTGTAGTTAAGATTAAGATCTAGATGACCTTGAAGGGGCATATAAATTGTAAGAATGTCCAACACACATGTAGATATTGACTGTAGGGTGGGTAGGAGATGAAAGTTTTGAAGTGCAAAGTCAAAGTGCAGCACAAGATATTGTTGTGTGCATAAATTAAAAACAAAGGATGCTATAAACAAAGACAAAAGTCACAAAACTGCAGCATTGAAGAGCAAAGTCAAAGTGCAGCAAAAGACTGCTAAAGACCCTTGTTCCTAGATAGCCACTATAATGGAAGGGTTTTCTTGTTTAAAGGTTTGCTTATTGCAATTCTTTGGTCTAGGTTAGAACTCTTGTCGATAATGATATCAGTTATCTTTTCCCTAAATAAGTGTAGTTTCATGCTGGATTGGGATCAAGAAAATTAATATTTGGGAAATGATAGTTCTCTTGTAGCCTGCTGTATTGTCCGATTTATAATTTATGATTTTTATCAAACCCGTTCTGTCTGCAGAATCACACACTTGTAGATTTCTTTGCTTAGTGTAGTCACTAATTTATCTGCCTTTCTTTTGTATTTGTCCAGGTGAATGGAGTACAACAGCACTGGTGTTTATGATTTCTTTTTGAGTCAATTCGACTTCATGCTCTGTTATTTAGTAGAACCATTATGATATTTGCAGACTGTTTGACATCTTCTTGGAAGGGGAATGAAGATCTCATTATAGTTCATGATCCTCAAGAATACGGAAATTGTCGATCATCTCAAACAGTGAGTAACAATCAACTCTTTATAGCAAAACATTCAAATTGTGTCATGTTAGGTGCATTCCTATCACCATTAGTATTCTTCCAATAATAATGACGTGCAACTGGGAATACATGTGCGTATCTGCAGATACGAAAGTATGGAATTTTTGAGAATGTGAACTCATTGAAGGAGCTAGCAGAAATGCCACATTGAACACCTGAGAGACACTTGATAGTAGCTACGGATTTCACATATGCATGGTGTACTGCAATGTGACATATTCATCTTCTTTTTCCAAGATACGGAGTTTATATTATTGTGGTCACAATTATTATTTCTAAGTTTGATGATATTTTTCCCTTAACATCCTCCATTTCATTCACATATGGGGCCCAAGTTTACGAATGAAAAAGGACTAAATCATGTTACCTTTTCAACTGCAGATGAAGCACCAAAGGCTGCTCCAGCAGTAAGACCAAATTTACCTATTTTAAGCAGATTCAGTTTTCTTAAGTCCCGTCTTATTGAGATTGACTGTTAGTTTTCTTAAGTCCCGTCTTATTAAGATTGACTGTTTGTATTGTACTACGTATATAACTGAAATACTTCTTCTCTTTTTCACAAATCGATTACTGCTCTTGATCCTATGACTCACCAGAGAGTCATGTTTGTTTTTTCTATATTTGTTGCATCAAAGAAATATGTCGTTCTATTTTAGATGTTACGGTTTGCTCTTAGAAGTTTTTATCACATTTGTTCTTTTCCAGCATTTCTTTTGGTGATCTTCAAATACAATTGCACTTTCAATTTCTTTTGAGTATGTAAAAGTTTTTTTAAGATCTATCATGGTTCCCTAATGTATGGGACAACACTGGGTAGGTTGTTGTTGCTGTTATCATTTCCTCACTTCTTCCTAATATAGATCGGGATAGCCGATGCAATTGTAGACCTTGTGGGCAGTGGAACAACTTCGAGAGAGAACAATCTAAAAGAGATTGCGGGTGGAGTCATCTCGCAAAGTCAGGTAATTTTTCAGCCTCTTATGCTAATGGGTTTTCGCGTTCTGCAGTTCTGCTATCGTCAATGTGGAGTGTTTATTACACAAAAAGTTATTGATTGAGACTAAATTTATTGGGGAAGAGAAAAGGTTTTTAAAAATATGTATACACTATTGATAATATTTCATGTGTGTGAATGTCAGAAATAGATATTCGTAGGCCATCACGTTTGGGTAACAAATGTTCCTGACTATCATTTGCAAAACCCTTCAAGTATACATAATACATTATATAGTGCAATGGCCCTTTGACCTCATTACTTTCCAAAGATTATTGCCCCCATTTTAAAACACTAGAACAATCGTTATAAAATATTAAGTGTCATTTTATTTGAGGAAAGAATGCAGTCAAAGGGACATTGCACTGTATTATGTTATAAAATATTAATAGTATCATTTTAAAACATGTTTTCGGCTCATATTGACGGGCAGGCACATTTTCAAGGGATGTAGAGTTCCAAAGTTTGCATAATCACATTCCCTCATTATGACATATTAGTACAACACATGATGGACATAAAATATTATGATTAATATTTCTGCACAGGCGGTCCTTGTTGCTAGCGGGAAATCATTGACACGTAAGGATGTGCTAGATATAACACATGAAATGCTTGAAAGGCTAGAGGCTCATTTCTGTGCGTTGGGTCAATTCACAGTGTGTAAAATCTCCTCCCAACATTTCACTTGTTTCAAAAACAATTGGTTCGTGATAAATTTCATGGCAGGTAACTGCCAACATGAGGGGAAACTCTGCAGAGGAAGTAGCTGAGCGTGTATTGAGCCGAAATTCCTTATCAGGGTTGCAGGTACAGACTAAGAGTGTTACTGAAGAGTTTAATAGAGCAGAAAATTATCTTACTACCCTTTGACAGAGGGATAGTAATCACACTCCATAAACTATTCGCTACTCAATTCTTGACTAACTTAGGCATGCCCTGTTCATATAAATCAATGTAGGGGCCCGCAGTAAGTCCAGTATTTTACAAACAAAATGGCCAAGTAACTGCAGATTACTATGCAATAGTCATATGTGTACCGAAGAAGGCATTTATGAGTCTGCGGGAGGTGAGATTCATGTACCGTATATCATTATATTCTTGTAAAAGATATAAAGCCACACACATGCACTCATTTTATAATTTGGCAAAGATTCCACCCTTTTAATCCTTCTTGTCCCAAATTATTTGTCATTTTAGGAAATTTCTAAAATTTCACACAAGGAAAAGGACTAATCTACTCTGCTTTTTAATATCTTTCAGGTCTCTTCGTCATTGATATATGTTATTTCTACATATAAGCATCTCAAATCATGTAGCATCAATCAAAAAAGTAATATACAATGTATGTTTTGATTAGCATCAAACAAGTAAAATAATAAATAAACAATATACCATCACACACTCTATTAATATAAGAAAATACATTAAAATAGTTTCAAAGAAAAAACATTATAATAAATTATGATATAGCATCAAATATTGAACTAATTCAAAAGTATACAAATCAATAATAGCATAATTTAGGATTTAAAGTAAATAATAAAAAAAACCTAAGAATGGCGAATTGAAGGTTTAAAGTAAATAATAAAAAAACATTTTCCATCCATAAAACTTGTACTTTGTGCATTGGAGCTGGTACACCGTTAAATATTTCCATTCTTGGCATAAAGTCGTTGCTCGCCATCCAATCTTGCACCAGAATTGATTCTCCTCCTTATGAAATAATACCCCCTTAAATGCGTACTCATTTAAAGCCTTTAATTTACCTTCTTTTTTATAATAACGTATGCACAGTTTCATGTGTGTATTGGAATTGGAGAGATTTCACCCTCTCTCCGTCGGGATGGATTTCAGGTGATTCTCCAAAATTTGTGAAGTCATAAATTATTCTTCCGTTCAATATTGTTGCGATCTGCAATGGATGTGGTTATTATATTGGATGTCTTCCTCCTTGCCGCAGCTCCTCGTCCGAGATTGGCATACTGTGAAGCTGAGATTGCAGATTTCACGGCATGTATCTTGCAATTCTCTAACTGTTTCAGTTTTAAGAAGGTAATACGAATGTAATTTTAGTATCTAATTAGAAATTTTGAATCCTCCATTTTCCCTTCCTCAATTCTAATATTTAGCCACGCCACCTATTTATAGGCCATGTGCACAATGGGTTCGTGAACTAAATTAGCACATCTGCTTGCAGGTGTTTGTGAAATGTTTGAATTTCATTTTTCTGGCATTTTCCTGAATTTCATTAAGGGTCCGTTTGGGATACGGAATTGGTGGAATTGAATTGGAATTGAAATTCCATTGGATTCAATTCCATAGAATTGAATTCTGCCAATTCCAATTCATTTTTTGCACCATCAATTCCAAATCCACATAATTTTTGTGCTACCAAACACCAAATTTGGAATTGAAGTTTCCAATTCCAATTCCATAGTTTGAGTTCCATATACCAAACGGGGCCTAAGCTTTTCCATGCTGTAAATCCAGCATACTCACATATTATTAGGGTTTAGCAATCATGCTGCTGTGTTCTTCAGTAGTCATTTTCCTTCCTTGAAATTGATTTTTAAGATATTGTGTTAAAAATTATTTTGTTCTGGTAGTCAGTATGAGTATAAGTTTAAAAATTAGAGGAATTTATACTTGGATTATCCAACCATTTCTCAAAATTTTAAGCTCCCAACTTTGAAGCTAAGTAATAACTTATTTTTTGAATAAAAAATTTTACCAAGCTTCATGTGGTCAGCACCATAACCTATTTTCTTATCATTTAATGAAAAGTATTTATTTATGGTTTAAAAAGACTGAAGGGAAAATAACCTAGCATTTTATATCTATAAGAGTATTTCTGTGGCGGGCTTAGGAGCTCTAGGCTCAATCTCTATCACCTAAGTTATTAGATTACATATAAGGGGCCGGTTTTCAGGACATTGGGAATCAACCCGAAGGTGCTCCAGTGTCCCTTTCGTAAAATTGATGGTTCCTATCCCCTTAACCCCCTGGTAAACTCCATCCCCTTCAAAGTTAAAATTAACTTAGGGGTGCAATTGAAGGAGATGGGGGGTGTGTGTTCGGGTCGGGGGAGTGAAAAAGGATAAATTAAAATAAAATTTTAATTAAATTAACTTGGAATGATTTATTAGATAAAGAAGAAAAATAGGATAAATGTGTAACCGCATTTAACTTAATAGAACAAGAAATCAATATGTTCAAAAGTAAAATAAAATAAAGAAATCACCCTAAATAATAAGACTAAAATATAGAGAAAATATCAAAATAGCAGTTTCATGTTTTTATTCCCTAAATAAGAGTTTGCACTACACTAATTTGACATTGCAATGTGCATTTTAATATACTTCTTGGTAATGTACGTGGTCATAATTGGTAATATAAATGCATTTTAATTTCTATTTCAGGAATAAAAACATAGAGCTCTTATTTTGACATATTTTCAATGTTCCCAATACAATAAGATAAAAATTGCAATTTTGGTCCTTGTAACCTGTTGGTGACGGTAAACTGGTTTAGGATACCTTTTTGTTGCAAATTTTATAGTTGGAGTACCTTTTTGCTACAAATTTAAATTAAAGTACCTTTTTATTATAACTTTGAAAGTTTGGGGAAAATTATCCCGAATAATTCCAACATTACACGTTCTTTCACAAAAAATATTCACCATTTATTGTGGTACATAATAATCTCAACTTTATTTATTTTTTAAAGAATTTTTTTGTTTTTTTTAAATAAAATTAAAATTATGGGGAGTGGTGGATTCTACTCCGTAACATTTTAGACACTATATGGAATATTAATGTATTGTTTTCTTGCGTTGGTAAAAATAAAAAAAATTGAGAATGTAAAACTACTATTTTTTCTTATTAAAACCTAAAAACGGAAATAAAAATAAAAAATAAGAAATAAAAACATTATTTTCTTATTTATTATTTTTATTTTTTGAATGGTCATTTCACAATATTGTTTGGTAATGTACATGGTAATGATTGGCATTGTAAATGCATTTTAACTCCTATTTTGAGAACAAAAGCATAAAGCTTCGATTTTGATATATTTTTAATATTTTACTCCTACTTTAGTCTTTTCCCTTTATTGATTACCTTATATCTTTAATTATTTCATTATTTTCGTTATTTTTATTTCTCCGTATAGTTTTTATTGATTAACATATATATTTCATTATTTCATTAATTTTGTGACATTTTCATTATTTTTTATAACAAAGTTTCTATTTTTTCTAAGATAGGACTTACTTTTTTTAAAAAAAGAAAAATGATGATGGAGGTAGAAATTTATTTTAAAAATTTATGGGAAAATTTCATATAAAAATAATTATCAATAATAATCTCAACTTCTATTTTGTTGCGAAAAATAGGTCATTTCTATTAACCCGGCGTTAGCAGCTTAATGGCAACTCAAAGCTTGCAAATTTTAATAAAGTTGAGATTATTATGCATCACAGTAAATTTTGAGATATTATTTTAAGAGAGTTCGGCATGGTCGGTCATCAACACGCCAAGGAGAGGGTTTGGCATGGTTGGCCATGTGAAGAGCTCACACCCTTTCGTACCTATGCTCGGGCTACGTCAAGGACCATCGTAGAACCCACCTCGTGGTCAACTCTCCGAGAACAACAAACCACTCCTACCATGGAAATTGTCCCCAAGTCTGATGAGAAAAGAATTGCTATAGTATAGGACAAATGTAATTAATGAATCATTGTGTTGTAATTTATAATTAGTTAGGCCCACTACTTGTAATATATAAATAGACCTCCTCGTTCCAAAAGGCGAAATTGCTCACTCTGGCCCCCTCATCCCTTACCCGATGCGATTGTAAGAAGATGTAAATCGTGGTGACTTAACAGACAATAGAGACTAATAGTCTAATACTATTGGTCACTGTGCAAAATGAGCCTTCCTCATTTTTTGAGAGGTTGCTCTCACACTGCCGCTGGTGAGGTTTGATCATGTGTCTCTTGTTCCAATTTCTACTTCTAAGATTAGTTGAATTGTCCATGCGAGCTATAAGTATACCTTCTTATTCAATGAGGGGACAAGATTCTACTCTTTGAATGCTACACGTTGAACTTTCTCTCTTCACTACTTTACTATCTTCATCCTTAGAATTCATCAACTATCTTGTCCTAGACTATTTGTCTCATTTTAACTTTTCAAATTAAAAATTGACAAATTGTTACCATTATTTAAATAATATTCATACTAGAATAATTTTATTAGAATTATCTTGGATAATATTTTTCTATCTAAATAATATACCATTTAATTTGATTTAAATATTAGTGAAATATTGATCTAGTTGGTTTCAAAAAATCAAAACTAAACAATTACTTTAAGACGGAAGAAAAATTATACGCTAAGAATTTTTTTAAAGAAGAGAGATTTTATTTACAATTCATTACCAAAATAAAGTAAGAGTAATTTTACCTAAATAGGACTAAATCATAATGACTTTCCCAATAAATAACCATATGTTTTTATTTCTCAATGTAGGACTTTTGGTCATTATCAAGTAGTCATTATTCTAGTAGATGTCCATCATTACTGGACATTATTCCTCCCACAATGTCATTATTAAGTCCTATTTAGGGAATAAAAAAATTTAAGTCCTACATTAAGAAAGTCATTATATTTTAGTCTTATTTAGTGTAAATTTCAAATGGAGTAATTGTATAGCATGTTTTTTGTTTTGAACATATACCAAGTATAAAAAATATAAAGAATTTTATGAGAAAAGAGAGTAAATAATACGGAGTAAAAAATGGTTAAAGGTTCACCTTCGAGGTCAACCATTGGAGTGGACCACTCTAAGCGTTGGGCGGTTTGAACCCATCCATTACACGTGCTTTCCGGTTTACGGTGGGATTCTAGTAACATCGGAGTACGGTAACACTCCGATGCCACTATCATTTTGAGACACTTCAGGTGCTTCGTTCATAAAATTGACGGCTCCTCTCCCTCCCTAACCCACCCCCTAAACCTCACACCCCTACCCCCGCCCCTGAACCCCACCCCAACCCCACCGTAAGTCTCCCACAAAATGTGTGGCTATTATGCGTTGCATAATAGCCACGCATTTTGTGAGGGGCTTATGGCGGGGTTGGAGTGGGGTGCAGGGGCGGGGGTAGGGTGGGAGTTTAGAGGATGGGTTAGGGAATAGGAACCATCCGAATGAAGCATCGAAAGTACTCTAAAATGAAAGTATTCTAAAATGACAGTGGCACATCTTTGTAGCCAAAAAGCAGTGTCAAATTGTCAATAGAACCGCACAGTTCCGGTTTATGATTGTCATTACCACACGATTGAGTAGGCTATATATTGGGTTTTAACTTTCATGCCTCCAAATTTTTCAAAAGATTTGCCAGCTTCCATCCATAAAACGAAATTCAAACCTTCCGCCAACACGAAGCTGACCGAGAGAGAGAGATGAGGAATCCCTCCAGTGCCGCTTATCGCAGATCGAAATCCGCTCCCGATCACTCTAAAAAGCCTCTGAAAGTGCGTTCGTTTCCTGGATCTGATCAGCATGTTTTCATGCTTGTGTTCATAAATTCATCACCGATCTTCTACCTATTCTGCAGAATGCGAGGAAGAACATGAATTCCGAGTTCGACACGCTCGTAGAAGGCGTTGCCTTGTCTGAATCGCCAAAGGATTCTGCTGATTTCTCTCTTATCTCAGAGGTTTATGAATCCACTGAGGTAATTTCAAATTCCTATAATCCTATTATCAATTTCATGTTCGGTTTGTATCTACTGGGATGTATAGGTTCGTCTAGTAGTTCGCAGATCAAAATCTGTTCCCGATCACTCCAAAAGCTCTGTGTTCGTTTCCTGGATCTGATCGGCATGTTTTCTAGCACATTCATGTATGCATCATGCTTGTGTTCATAAGTTCATCACCTATCTTCTACATAATTTGCAGAACACGAGGAAGAAAGAATCTACTGATTTCTCTCTTATCTCAGAGGTTGTAGATGACGTCCAAGTTACCAAATCCAATAAGGTAGTGTTTGGCAACTAGCATTTCATTTCAATTCATGCATTTCAAATCCAAAATTTGAAATCCTGAATTTCAAATGACAAGGGGAGGTGCATGGATTTTAAATTAAGCTTGGTTTTGAATGTAAAGAATTTGATTCAAATCCAAATTCAAAATGCTTAAGTTTCCCAAACATGGAATTTAAGCCAAATCCGGATTTGAAATCCAAATCCATGTTCCCAAACATACCATAAGGTAATTTCAATATCCAATCATCAATTTCATGTTCAGATTTGTACCTACTGGGATGNTTCTCTCTTATCTCAGAGGTTGTAGATGACGTCCAAGTTACCAAATCCAATAAGGTAGTGTTTGGCAACTAGCATTTCATTTCAATTCATGCATTTCAAATCCAAAATTTGAAATCCTGAATTTCAAATGACAAGGGGAGGTGCATGGATTTTAAATTAAGCTTGGTTTTGAATGTAAAGAATTTGATTCAAATCCAAATTCAAAATGCTTAAGTTTCCCAAACATGGAATTTAAGCCAAATCCGGATTTGAAATCCAAATCCATGTTCCCAAACATACCATAAGGTAATTTCAATATCCAATCATCAATTTCATGTTCAGATTTGTACCTACTGGGATGTATAGGGGCGTGTAGCAGTTTTTTTTTGGTATAAATATTGATCCATTTTACAAATGCATTTACTACTCGTAGATACGATGCTGTGGCTGTTTCTGCTGGTCTGTTATATCTTATGCATATTTCCATTTCAATCTTGCTGCTTTACTTTCTTCACCCTACTTTGAAGGCAGTTTGTGATTTGTAGTGGTGTTTTATGATCCTTCTCAGTAACTGAATTAGGCTAATGCATATCTCAGTTGTAAGATCTTTGCTAGCAAATTAGAATGTTCTGGATCTTCATCAGTTTTGCTTTATACTCCAGTCCACTCTGCATATTTTTGAACTTTGATTGTTCAAAATAATAACCGGGGGTGGTTGATGATTGAAGGAGCTCCAGAGCTTTGTTTTTCCACTGCATCCAGAAGCTCCAACTTCACCAGGGATTATCTTTCTCCATGACCACACCACAGTACCATCATTTGGGATTTCTTCTAATATGCTCACAACCAGCACTGCTTCAACCTACCTGTCCCAGAGTGCTGAAGAAAAGACTTCCATGGAGACAGAAATAGCAATCAAGCATCTAAGACAGGCACTATTTCGGCCCATGAATAATTCCCTTGGCATTTCTCTGCGGCAGCCCAAGAGACTCGTGGACGCTTTGGTGGAGGTTGTAGTGCAAGAGGTCTGTGGCTCGACCCGACGAGAGAAAAATTGTTCTAACTCCCTTACTTTGAAGAAGATGTTCTTATTGGTCTCGCTTAGTTTTCTACTGGTGCTCATCCTTGCTCTTCTCTTCATCAGTTCACTTCATACTTCTAGTGCAACACCGCGCTTCATCGGTCCTTTGCCAACTTGAATTCTCCACAGTCCACACATTACAGTTGCTTAAGTATGACTATGAGTTAGGTTCAATAACACTTTTGGAAACGTTTTGACTTGTAATACACCAAAATGTATTCAGTAGTTTTTGCACAAAATGCAATTGCCCAGAACAGTGCTTGTCTTGTTCTACTTCTATGCAAAGAGAGAATTTAATTTTCATGCTTTAAAATGTCTATAAACCGACGAACGGAGCGTTCCGTTCAACTTATTTTTTCTGCTTATTACTTATTCTTATTATAATTAGATTACATCTGACCACATCAGAAATAATTTTAATTATAACTGGTATCAGATCAGACCAGATCAGATCTTCAAAAAATTAGGAGGCAAATGAAATGCAGCCTAAATCTGAAATCAATGGTAGACTAAGAGGGCTATCTTTGGCATGCAAATAAGATTTACAAAAAAAAAAAAAAACAATTTGTATTCCTAGAAACTGAGCTCATTTGAAACATTGAAAGTACATGTGTTTGATAAAATAACTATAGTTTTTTGAGATTAATAAGTGGCTCTGGTCAAAAATATTTTAAGAGATACTCCCTCCGTCCTAAAATGTTCTTCCTGGTTCATTTTACGAAGTTTGACCGACTTTATTTTCAGTTCAATTTATTTGATTGTAGGTGTGAAATTAAAAAATAAAATTTATATATTTTAAAACTATATCAAAAGTTCTACAAAATAAGTGGTGACAAGACTATATTATTTTATCAAATACCTAATGAAAATAGGTAAAGAAAGTGATTAAATTTTGACCGTATAAAAAAGAGAGTGGGAAGAACATTTTAGGACGGAGGGAGTATAAATTTGTCATTACTCACATTGTACTCCACTTGTTGTTACTTGTTAGAGCAATGCCCCCCCCCCCCAAATTATTTTATTACTCTCTGTCCTACTATTGGATATAGAAAAAAAGTATAAATTACATCATTTAAAAGTACACAAAAAAACTTTGTAAAACAAGAGGTGACAAAAATATTTTATTTTATTAAATTATTAATGAAAATATACAAATAAATAAAAGTTATCGAGAAGCCGTAATAGTGACAATGACATTCAATTCGAGACGGGGGGGGGGGGGGGGTA